TCACTGCCCCGCCAGGTCTGGGGCGCGGCGCCACGCGTCTTTAACCCACGGGGTGCCCTGGCCCCGAGCCGGAGGACTTGTTCCCAGACACCCCTCGGGTCGGAGTCGAACGGGACCGTTGCCTCCACAACCAGTGCTCTTCTTAAGGGTTTTAACATCGCGCTTCTCTTCTCTTCTCCACGCCTCCCACCAGGTCACCTTTGGGATCCGGGATGATCCGAGCCCCAAAAGAACAACAAACTGGTGTCCTCGAGGAGTGATGCCTGAGCAGGAGAGACAGGTTACAGCCAGAGAAGAGGCCAGTCGGAAAGTGAGTTTTCTTTCTTGCGGCGTGCACGACTTTGGGGGCGTCCTCCCTGCCTGCAGTCGGGACTCGCTCCGGGGCGCTCAGGGGCTGCAGAGCGCCCCGGAGAGCAGGGTTCCGGGGTGGTGGTTCGGGAGCAAAGCTCTCTAGGAAGGGCGTGCCGGTCACAGGTGTTCAGGAACAGTTGGTGACTCAGAACTTTTCTCTCACGCTGTGGAAGGGCCGAGTGAACGTGGAGTCCTGTGTAACAGGCTTAATTGTTCAGAACGAATTCCCCGGGGAAGTTACAGTCTGGTGCCTGGACTTCTTAATGGTCTACATTCAAGTTCTGCAGTTTAAAAAATAACGATTGATGCATTTTAATTATATAAGTAATACATTAATATGGTCTCTTAAGAATGTAAACTACAGAAATATTTAGCATGAAAAGCAGAATTTCTGGTCTTTTTCTCAATGTATATGTATTTTCATTCAGCAAATACTGGAAACCTATGTTTTGGGCAAGGTATTAAAGAGTTGATAAAGTGATTAGCATGATATATGTACACACAGAGAGAAATCTTTAGTTCTTTTTGTGTCCTAAAATATGTTGGTTTATGTGAGTAATATCATGTGCTGTGTATTTCCCAGTTAATATATTTTTGAGATTGTTTTGCTTAGTGCCTTACTCAGTTTAATCTCTGCATAGGATTGATGCACTAGAATTTGTTGTTCCTCTACTGTGGACATTCTTGTTGGTGCTGCTGACCATTTTTGTCTCTTTCAGAAGTGGACACAATCTTTTTTGGGGGGAGTTTGAGACAGGGTCTCACTATGTAGCTGAGACTGACCTGGAACTCACTATGTAGCCTAGGCTGGTCTTGAACCCACAGTGATCCTCCTGCCTCAGCCTCCCAAGTGCTGAGAGTACAGTCATGCACCACCATGCCTGGCTCTTTTTTTTTTTCTTCTTGAGACGGGTTCTTACTGTGTAGTACAGGCTGGCCTTGAACTCATCAGGCTAGCCTCAAACTGGAGGCAATCCTCCTACCTCAGCCTCCCCAGTGTTGGGATTACCTACATGCGTCACCATGCCCAACTAGACATACTTTTTGCACTTGATTTTTAATGCCAACACTTGAGTATTTGTTTAGCATAGGCACCCAAGCCTGAATAACTGGACTGAAGAGTTGGTTGTCTCTTTTCCGTACATCTTTGGCATGAATTAATTCAATGATGTGAGTATTATCAGTGCCCTTTAATAACAGTGAAACTGTGTCTGAGCTCTGGTGTTGTGGAAATGAAAGATAAGCGAATTAATGGATGGGCAGAGGCTGGTCTATAGATGATTGTAAACAGTGGAAAGGCAGCATTTGATCTGGGGTCTGATGCACACACTGGGGAGGAGTGACTGGTGCAGAGGAGGAGACACTTTCAACCCTGATAAATGCCTAGCTGGAGAGAAAAATTCTTATCCTTCCAGACCAAACACAAGACCTGGCACCTCTGAAAAGCCTTCTGTAACTGCCCTGCCCACATTGACCTCACCCTTTTCTGGATTCCTTGGTATTAGCCTTGCCGTTGTTGTGAAGCTTACTATGTGCTAGGCCTTGTATTAGGCTCTTTATATCCCTCTGTGAGCATTCTTTCCTTCAGTCGTCACAACCCTCACCTCTTTGGCACTGTTGGGGTTTGAATCTGGGGTCTTATGCTCATGTGCTCTGCTATGGAGCTGTACCCCTGGCCTTAAAATCCTTTGATGTGGGGTGTTTTTGCTTGTTTGGTTATTTGTGCTAGTGATTGAACCCCGGGACTTGGACATACTAAGCACACATTCTACCACTGAGCTTCACCCCAGCCCTGATGCAGGTATTATTCTGTGCCACCATTTGTTTATCAAGTATTTTTTGAGTATTATGTGTCAGAAATCCTCGGCACTGGAGATCCAGCTAAGTGCATGACTCTGCCCTCATGGAGTTTATATCCTAGTAGGAAATACAAGGGAAAAAAGGGCAAACAAATAAATAGTTCTTTCAGGTTGCACTGATAAGCGCTGTGAAGAAAAGCAGGGTAGGGTCATGAGGAAGGGAATGGATGGGAAGGAAGATTCTATTTTTTAAGTGCACAGTCAGAGAATGCTTCTAGGTAAAATGGCACTGGAGGAAAGACCCTAATGAGTCAGTTTTCAGGGAAGTTTTCTGGATGGGAAGCAACAAAGTGTCCAATTCCTAGGGTGGGAGTGTGATAATCTAAAGTGTACATTTGATCTTTGTCCTATGTTTCTGTTTCTTTTTTATTTATTTATTTATTTATTTATTTATTTATGGTTTTTCCAGGCAAGGTCTCACTATGTAGTTGAGACTGACCTGGAACTCACTCTGTAGCCCAGGCAGGTCTCGAACTCACAGTGACCCTCCTGCCTCAGCCTCCCGAGTGCTGGGATTACAGGCGTGCGCTGTCCTGTTTCTGATGCAGCTAAAATCCTTGAACATTCCTGAATGACACAGAATTATTTTGTTGTTCATAATAAGCTTCCTTTAACAGGAGCCACACCTGAGTTTCTGTAGTGTGGCAGCCCTTGATAAGCCCCTAGATAGCTTTAGGATGGGGCTAGCTGCTACCACACCCCCCTGGTAATAGCATGTGAAATACTTTCTTGAGTTCTGTGGGCCGCTCTAGAAAAGTCTTCACTGTAGAGTTGTGGACAGGCCCTGACTTTATTGCTAGTCATTCAGAAATTTAGGTGCCTCAGATTTGGTGACGGGTGACGGGTGTCGGAAGGGGCAGTCTCGTGGGACTGAGTCCTTACCCAGTGGGCTAACCCAGTCTGCTAACGCCAGGTTGTGCTGGAGCTAAATTGGATGGTAGGGTAGCCAGTCCTTGTCCGGAAGGTTGAGGAAATGCCACATGTATTTTGTGTTGGAAAGTTTGGATGAGAAATAGTAGAGAAGGAGTGAGCTGAGCGTCAGAAGGTCAGAGTGGCTGGAGCAGAGAGAGGGAAGGGGAAGTGGCAAAACAAGAGAGCGGCATTCATTGTCACTTTGCAGATAGGGAAACTAAGGCAGAAGGTAATTAACTTGCTCTGTGTCTCTTGCTAGTGAGAGACAAATCTATGATTGAGTCCTGGCCAGGCTGCTCTGCCTCTCGTAGGAACATATTACCTCCTAAACGTGCTTGATGCCGGGTCTTACTACCTGGTATCAGTATGTAAAACAGTGAATACAGCTTATCTTCTTAAAGGTAGGGACCAAGTTTATACCATTTAAAAATTACTCTCGAATATGAAAAGAAGCCTCAGTTGTTCTTGAATGAATGAATGAATGAATGATAGTTTGATTTGCACAAAGTTTTCTCTTCAGAGGCGTCTCTGTGAGGCATTAATGACCAGGTGACCTGGTCCTTCAGTATTCATTCCACAAACACGATGCGCCTTCTGTTTATCTGGTGCTAGTCAGTCAGGGGATGCAAAGATGAAGAGAGGTGGGCTCCTGTGTGTCATAGGTGCTGGGACAGGCGTCTACACAGTTCAGCACCCACAGGGGTGAATGATCTGCTTTTCCTGGGAGCAAGGCACACAAGAAGAACTGGGAGAGGAGGTGGTGCTCCAGTGGGTCCTGAAGGAAGAGCAGTGCTGACTGGGCTCAAGTAGCATGGAGGGCAGGGTGCTGCAGGCAGCATGCATGAAAATCCAGAGGTCTGGGAATCAAAGGAAGCTTTTGGGGGCTGGGAGGCCTTGGCAAGGCTGGAGAGTGATTGTAAAAGGCCCCTGTTGATCAGGTCAGGAGTTTGAACTTTATCCCACAGTCTAGAGTTAGTGTATGGGGAAATAGTCTGAGGCCCCTTTGGGGAGGAGACTGAACCCAGAAGGGAAAGAATGGGAGTTGGAAGACCACTTGGAGGCTGCTAAAAATACCCTGCCGGGCGTGGTGGTGCACGCCTGTAATCCCAGCACTGGAGGCTGAGGCAGGAGGATCTCTGTGAGTGCGAGACCAGTTTGGTCTGCATAGTGAGTTCCAGGTCAGTCTCAACTACATAGTGAGACCCTCTCTTAAAAAAACAAAGACAAACCAATGACAAACAAACAAACAAACAAATCATTCCACATGAAAAGCCCGGAAGAGCTGGAAGTCTATCCTATCCTGATTCACAGTGGTACTGGCTTAGAGAGAGTGGGTTGTCTAGACCCCAGTGTCCAGAGTGTCAGAGACCAGGGAGTCCTAACTCAGGGTGCAGTCTTAGGTAGCCTGGTAAGCTAAGAGTAGGTGAAGCTGTATCTTAAATGTTTTTGGCATTTTTCTCTAAGTCAGAAGGATGGTCATGTGCTAGTGACATGATCCCTGGCCACTGATACCACAGCAAAAGTATCAAAGAAGTATCTATCTAGTTCAGGTGACTTTAGTATCATTTTTATCTGTCGGAGAAAACTGGATCATAGGCAGTGAAATTGAATTCTGAAATGTCTGTTGCTTTTTTATTGTTTGTCATGCTGGAATCAAACGCAGCCTAACACATGCGAGGCAAATGCCCTGACAGTGAGTTATACTTCCAGTACCAAGGTTTTATTCTTTTCTTTTTTAAAAAACTAAGTTAAAAGAGAAAATATGAGCAGAGCAAAGATTGGTGGGATAGAGTCCTACAGAGAGTGACCTTTTGAGGGTGGGTAGTGTTTGAGGATTCATTCTAGGACCTGGCGCATGCTAGTTAATGCTCTACCACTGAGCTAGTTCCAAGCCTTGCAAATATGACTTAACTGTTTCTTTTTCTTCCTCCTCTTTCTCCTCATCTTTTTTTTCACCTTTCTTTTCTTTTTGGTGCCACGGAGAGAACCATGTGCTTTTCTAATGGGCTACACCCCCAGCCAACTACTACCAGGAATTGTGAAATTTGCCCTTTGAGAACATAGCAGATTTGCCAGGGCCAGAAATTCAGACAGCCACGTACTTGGAGCTGCTAGCAATTTCATATCTTAGTTGTTCCTTCCAGTGCCTTTTACTTGCCCTCTGTCAACTTGGTGTGACTTTAAAATG